TGTGTAAAGTATAGGAGGCTCAGGTAGAAAACCTGAGCCCCACCCAGTACTACTGAGGGAACAGAAGATTTGCATTTGAACAAGGACCTGAAGAGGAAAAAATAATGACTGGCTCCTTGAATTTCGAGCCAGCCGACTGGTTTTGGGTGCTTCAAGACAGGAAAGTCATGGAACATGAGAGAAACCCCTTCCAGGCCTGAAAGTTAAAGGAAGACAGCAAGTAGTAGGCTCGTATGCTGCTTGCTTGTGACCACCTGGGTCCACTTGAGTGGAAATGGGGGAAGTGCAGCAAAGACAAAACAGGCTGACTTTGGTACTCTTTGACCTAGGCCACGAAGGCTGGGGATAAGAGCAAGGGCTGGCTGACCTGAAATGCAAGGAGTTGTGAACCTACAGGCATTGAAATAGTCCCTGAGGACTGAAGATGTGAGAGAAGGTGCTGGCTGGTCTGAAGTGAAGAGTGTGACTCCCAAACTTGGCAGCTGGTACCCATGATCTAGCTGGAATGGCTAGGGCTGAGCTGACCAGAACCCGAACAAAAAGGAAGATGTTTGACACTGAGCTGGTGTTAAGTTGCCGCAATTTGATGGCATGCGCTGGGCTGGACTTTGCTTGTTTATGGATCCAGATGTCTGAAGTTTCCAAGCAGAAGATTCTCCAGAGAGAAAGACATGCTTGTCTCCTCAGAGTACTGGTTTGCTATGGATTGGCAAGTGAGAAATTAGCTATTTAAAATGGGAGAAGATAAAGGCATGAAGTGGCTGGCTTACACACTTTCATGGGTATGGTTATTCTTAAACTGATGGTGAAGGGGATATTAATTTTTGAAGTATAAAACAGATGGGATAATGGCTAGAAAAGCCAGGGGGTGGCCTGCAGTGTAGTAAATTACCTGGCATGGCTCTTCTAGTCATAAGTCTTTGTAAACTCTGTGGTGGAATTTGCTGTGAGCAACTGAGGCACTCCTGATTGTAAAAGTTATCCACCTGAGGTATTTCTGTTGGGTACAACACAAAGCAATGTTCTGGGAGGTTCCTGCTTGCTCTCAGGTGCTTAGAATTTTGATGTTATGATTGGTTAGTTTGGCCACTCTGCCAGGCTCACTGTGTAACATTAAAGAATAATGAAGAATCAGCCAATCACCTCCTAACATGGATAAACTTGGAGGTCATTATGGTGAATGAAACAAGTCAACTGCAGAACAAATATTGTATGAAACTATTACTGTAAAAAGTCAAGGAAATCTTTACACACGGAAGGAAATTTTCTTTGTTGGTTACCAGGGATGGGAGGGGAAGAAAGGGAAAATAGATAAAGAGATAAGTTAGAACTCTTTCTCTCTATATATATATGAATAAGATTAGCCATTAGTTATTAGTTGAAGCTAGGTTATGGGCACATGGGGGTTCATTGTACTAGTCTTTGTTTCTGTATGAAATGTTTTATAGTACTTTTTTAAAAAATATATATATAGTCTTTTTTACACCTATCCCGCTTTGACAGCAGCTGCGGAATCTCTGGTGGGCTAATTTTTCCAAACACCCACAATGTGCAAAGTTCCATTAGTTAAGAAAAAAATTTATCAAAAGGTGACCATACAGGGCAGTGGCAAAATATAGCATATTTTAAAGGGGCTTCCTTTGACCTCTGGGAACAGTTCAGGAGCATGGTGATAGTCTGTACAGGCGTGAAGTCTCATAACATCTGGGACACTTAATTCTTGCTTTGCTGCTGCCCTTTCCAAACTGGGAGGTAACATTGTCATTCCAAGGGAACATACGCTAGCAATGGTGCACTCCTGTTTAAGCCAATATTTTCAAACATTGCACTCTTCTTTCCTTAACCTTCTTATCAGAAAGGCTACATCCTTATAAGAGGGAAGCAGCAGAGTCAGTGCTAAAGTATGCTCTGGAAAGCCCATTTCTCCATATTGTCACTAGTTTTAATTGCCTACTTATTTGCTGATTTACAGGCTTATTCTCTCTCAGTGGACTGTAGTGGATTGGGATCATGTTCTGTTTTGTTTTGCATTTCCTTTCACAATCACCGAGTATCTAATGCCTACTACAGTATCTAGCACATATTAAGTGCCCAATAAATATTCAGAGTAAAAACAAAACAAAACAAAACAAAAACCCATTGTCATCAGAGTTGATTCCAACTCATAGTGATCCCCACGGGGTTTCTGAGGCAGTAAATCTTAATGGAAGTAGATTGCCCAGTCTTGCTTCTGCAAAGTGGCTGGTGGGTTTGAACCACCAACCTTCTGGTTAGCAGTCAGATACCTTAGGCACTGTGCTAACCAGAGCTCTTCAATGAGTAAATAACCAAGGAATATTTCACTGATTCCAAATGGTTTGAAACTTAGTACTATTAAAGAAAACATGTAGGCAATGGCCAAAAGATGAAAAAGTGCACATACCTGCCTAGAATTTGGGACTTAAGTAGGCCAAATTCTCCAAAGTGCCATTAGAGAATTTTAAGATTAACAATCAGATCTTTAGTTCAGAAATCACTTGGGAAACTGTGCTGAGGGGTTGGTGTGAGCAGGTATGCTGTATTAGGCAAGAAAATCTATTACTGTAATATGTATGAATTGATTTAAATAAGAGGAGACAGTAGGAAATATATTTAGTATGCAAAATTAACAGTGTTTTGTGACATAGGGCACAAGTAGTGGAGGAATTTAGGATGAATTAAAGGTTTCTAGGTGATGCCGTCAAACAAACTGGAAAATACAGGAAGGCGATGAGATGGGGAGGGAGATGATTTTGGAAATTAAGGAATTTATTCAATGACCATTTAGGGAATTGGATATATGGTTTATTACTCAGAAGTGATACCTATTTAGAGTTCTAGAAGTTGCATGTGATCATCATAGACAGACTCACTTGGGCCTGGATGGTATCATCCAAGGTAAGTGTGTTACAATTAAAATTAAAGGCCCAAGGATACAGTCCAATATTCAAGAGTCAGGATGAAGAATTGAGATGGATAAAGAAAATCCATAGTAGTCTGGAGGCTAAGGGGAAAGCTTCAAAGGACTACTTGTTATGCTGCCAAGAAGTCTCATAAGGTAAGAACTGGTGTCAACCTTATTTGGCTACTATGATCTAGGATGACCTCTCTGGGTCATTTCTGGAGTGGCACAAGAGAAAGTTAGATAATAATGGAATAAAAAGTATACTGGAAGAGAACTGTATATTGGAAGTGAGGAAACTCAGGTAGCTGGGTGTAGGTAACTCTCTTGAAAAGCCTTATTCACACAACAGAAGCTTATCTTGCTGCACTACTTTATGGTGTAGTAATGTTTTCATGTGTCCTTTAGGAAGGGTTTAGCAGGGATTCAGAATTACACGGGATAGGTCTCAGTAGTTCAGTAGTAGTATTCTCTCCCACACGTGGTTGGGCTGCATTTGATTCCTGGTCAATGTATCTCATGCACAGCCACCACCTGTCAGTCAGTGCAGGCTTGGGTATTAACTCTGATGCTGGACAGGTTACAGTGAGGCTTCCATACCAAGACAGACTGGGAAGAAAGGTTTGAAAATTGGCCATTGAAAACCCTATGAATCACAATGATCTGATCCCACTGTGCACGGGGTCACCATGAGCTGGGGGCTGACTCAAAAGCAGCTAATAACAATAAAGTTACTTACTCCTAAAACAGACAAAACCTGGAAAATAAGGCAAAAATGAACATGTCTTCATATATGTTTTTTAGGATGATTTGAGGACTCTGTACTGCCAATGAACCAGTAACTGGAAATATAAATTGATTTAATAAAATTGTTCCAATGGGGTGTTGTTATTGTTGTTGTTTGCCATTGAGTCGGCCCTGACTCATAGCGACCCCTCCTTGGGTTTCCGAGGCAGTATCACTACAGAAGTAGGAATGCCCAACCTTCCTTCCGAGGAGTGGCTGGTGGGTTTGAACTGCCAGCCTTCTGGTTAGCAGTCAAGTGCCTTAGGCACTATGCTACCAGAACTCCTAATGGGGTATTAGTATAATTTAAAAATATTTATGAAGTGTTGTAAGGATTTGAGAGTTGGCAAAACAAAGCATAACTACAAGTTATTACACTCATCAAGTGATGCTCAAGCGATGAGAGGCTTGTCTCTGGCCAATAAAAATGTAACCAATGATCAAATGACCTGGAAAGCTGACTGGACACATAATCTAAACCCATTACTTAAGATGGGAAATTAAATGGTAAAGCAGCCCAAAGCCTCACTTAGGAAAGAAATCTTCAGTCTTCTTGTAATCGATATTCGGGAAAAACACATTATCCAAAATCACTTTGTGATTTTAAAACTACATTAAATTGCTGTTTATTTTGACCATCACTGGGTTGTCTGTCTGTTGTACTGTGGTGGCTTGTGTGTTACTATGCTGCTGGAAGCTATGCCACTGGTATTTCAAATACCAGCAGGGTGACCTATGGTGGAGAGGAGTCTAAGCTTCCAGATTGAGTAGGAAGAAAGGTCTGGTGACCTACTTCCAAAAATTTGCCAATGAAAACTCTAGGCATCGTGATAGATTACTTTCCCATACAGTGCTAGGAAGTAAGACTCCTAGGTTGGAGGCACTCAAAATACACAGTGGCTACAATGAACTCAAGTATACCAATGGCAGTGAAGATGGCACAGGACTGGGTAAAATGTAGTACCAATGTACATGGGGCTGCCAATTTGTCACTAACTTGATGGCAACTAAGAACAAATTGAAATTAATTTTGACTTTTAGGCATTATTACCCACAATAATATTTTCCAGCTAACAAAAGTATTATTATAACTTTTCCATTGTTGCTTTCTCCTCACCTATGTTAGGATAGAAGGACTTGAGAGAAAATTACAAATGCTTTAAAAGTGACTGTTTTGAAACAATTTCAACTTACATGTTAATTGCTAGGGATGAACATCTGAAAAGCAAACCCACAGGAAAATATTCATGATTTGAAGCAGAGTGTCCTAATATAACGCACACAAGCAAACAGTCTATTTAATAAAAATATTTAATGCTGCCAAAAAGTATAAAAATACAGTAGGAATGGCAGAATACAAAGTAGTCTCCCCTAATTTATTTCTTTTACATCTTTCTACAATTCATACACATATTAAAAAAACACTTAAAACATCAAATTAAAGGATTTTGCAGTCTTCTGCTGGTGGGTGCTCTTCATTCCCTGGATGTAAAGTTTACTTTGTAAACAGACAGCTGTGAGGCAATCTATAGGTCTATCAAGCCTCACTTTAGTTTCCGGAGTGGGCTTCAGGTCTTGCTTTGCACATCAATGGTTCAAAATTTATAGCTGCAGAATATTCTCAAGTCATGAACACTTAGGTGTCTGTCAATCTTGGCCTAAAACATAAAATGAGAAGTCATCTATTCAATTCATATTTACCAACCAGACATACATACCAGATACACACAAACATAAAACGACTAACAATGAACTAAAAAGGCACCAAAATTCATTCCAACATATCACATTCAACCACCCTAAGGGCTTCACTGTTGCTGTGGTAAAATTGCTTAAGTGTTCATGGTGGTTTAAGGTAGACTCATGTTAAAGCATTACAACTCAGATTTTTCTTCAAAGATTACAAACTTAATTATTTTTAGGCCACCTTTTATTCCTTGCAATAACATCAAGAAATGACTCCTACTGAGATACTGGCAGACAGACAGGTTGTACCCACAACAATGTAGCAAGATTTATGGCATGTGCAAGACTTCAGAATTCTATGCAAAAGTTTAATCCAATCTGGAACTTCAATGTATAATGCAGCTAAAAATATAATCAATGTAATGTCTGAAAATAAGGTGAGTTTACATTTTAAAATCACAGACTATTAGCAGCAACAGACAACTTAAGTGACACATTACTGAAATTACTATTAATATGAAAGGAAACACAAGACATAAAATAGATTTATTATACTTTAATGCCAAAAATAAAAAGTTTAAACAAGTATTAGATAAATAACTATTATAAAGGCAGATGAGTTTTTGATGCTATATGACAGTATTTACAAATTACTCCAATTTTGGGGTAGGTAATTATCTTCATCCTTCCCCAAACTTCCCTTACCGACCAAAATCTAGATACTTGTCATTATTTTATCTCCATATATACAAATAGGAAATACAAACCACATCCATACATTTTAGCCTAAACATTTAGTCAAACACACAAAAGTACTAAAAATTAGGCTTCTTCCTGCTCATTCTCTGGCTTACTTTCTCTAAAGCAAGGCACCAAACACTTTGGTGTTCTGAATATTCCTTTTCTTGGATTTTCTAGCATAGTGGGGAAATGTTAGGTCTTCAAGAAAACATTTTTACCACTTATCTGTGGGCCAGAGACATAACTAGGGGTGCTTATTATAGGAACTTCCAGAATTCTGAACCAAAGTAATGGAGTAAGGAAAGGCATTTCCTGCTTAGTATGCCTGCAAAATATTTATTTTCCATGCATTCAGAAAAGTCTGGTCTTTAAGACAAAAGAACTGTAATCCAATCAAAGAGTGAATGGTTTAGAGAGTTTTATGACATTTCAGTATTCCTCTGGTTCAGCAGTGGTTCAACATGTTTCATACTTTTTTTTGAGGGAAAAATTTCATTTACTTAAAAAATAAAGAGAATTGCACTGCATTTTAACAATAAGAGTTATTGTCTATATTTTCCCATTTAAAAGACTGGCTTAAAGAATCCATAAAAACAAAGGCAATGTAACATAATGTAAGTATGAGCATAACCTAAGTATGAGCTTCGGCGCATTTGAGGGTGAATTAGCTTCGTGATGTACAAGCTGTGTAGTCTTGGACAAGTTACTTATTCTGTGACTTAGTTTTCTTACCTGAAAACAGGGAAAATTCTATCTACCCAGAAGTACTTATACATTAAAAACTAGTTGTTAATTCATGGCAACCTCATGTATGTCAGAGTAGAACTGTTTTCCATTGGGTGTTTAATGGATTATTTTTCAGAAGCAGGACACTGGGCCTTTCCTCCAAGATGTCTCTGGGTAGACTCGCACCTTCAACCTTTGGACTTGAATTGTTGCGGTTAGCAGCCAACTGAGTTACCACCCAGGGACTCCACTTAAGAGATTAGATAATCTAAAATGTAGATTAAATTTACGATATGTTGTTTAAACACACTGGTAGAATTTTAGGTGCTCAACATACTTACACTGTGGTCCTTCCCCAGCAGTATATTAAGGATATACTTAGCAAGAATGAGCTGTCATTTATATCAACTAAAAGAAATTTTTTGTTTTCCTTTTTGAGGTTTGTTTTATTTACGAAGGCAAAAGTAAAATGGGTTCAAACAAATGAAATTAACTGGGCTTGGTGTTTTACTTGGATAAGGCAGTCCTCATACAGTGCCGACAGTCCTTATGCTGGTATGGTCCAAAGACCACTTTTAGTGTAAGATATGAACAAAATACCTCCATTAATTTAGAAAGTCAAAACTTCACCAAAAGTAGTTTGTCACTAGATAATCACACTATTATTCCAACTGAGATGAACCAAGACTAATCACAAAGTTTTATTAAGTGAGCAAAGCATTACCCTTACAGACTTTAAAATCAACTTACCTAGGTTTCCTCTCCTAAACTCACTAAACTCAAATAGCTAAGTTTTTATACGGTAGCAATTTGAATAAACAAACAGCATCATGTGTTTGAAAAACCTATGCCAAATCAGAGCAACAATAAACAATGATTTGATGTTTTTCTTTTAAAATAGTCTCTATTAAGGAAATAAAAAAGTTCCAATGCAATTCTCCTAATAGCTCCCTAAAACATACTTAGGTAACATAAAACCAAGCACTATTAAAGCAGACTTTGTAAGTAACATCCTAAATTCTCCAATTCCCATATTCTAAATTACAAAATCCAAACTGAAAGAGCTCACAAGATTAAACTTTCACTCTCATCCAATGACCAGAGGTGGTTAGGCCCTTTATTTTCAGTTGTTAGGTGATAAAGACAAACTCTCTCAAACTAAGTAAAAGCATACAATATGTCTTTAAAGGAACATTTTTCCCAAAGGAGAGCAAAGTTTTCAGAATCCAAGTAGCAAAACGAGAGATTTATTTATCTGGAAAGTGTTGAAAGTACTTGTGCACAAATGCTAAGTGCCATTTGTGGACTGAAGTGAATGTGGTATATGTTTAGAATATTCCTGTAACTGAGGGAAGAATGAGATAGCCAAATACACTCATTTCCCTAGAAGTTACACTACCCAATGAAGAGTGAAAAAGCTTAACTTCCCAAACCTGGATAAACAATCAAATGACTTCATGAGGGCCAATAAATGCTCATTATCCAGGCATGGGATTCCTTTCAGAGTAGGGATTAATAAGATGACTGTACAATTTCAATTTCTCTCCACTAATTGTACCACAATGAGCTCTGGTGTTGCAGTGCCTAAGGCATTTGACTGCTAACCAGAAGGTTGGCAGTTCAAACTCACCAGCCACTCCAGGGAAGGAAGATGGGCCAATCTACTTCTGTAAAGATTTACCATCCCAGAAGCCCAATGGGGACTGCTATGAGTCAGAATCAACTTGATCGCAGTTGAGTTTTTTTTTAATGTATCACCATCATTTAGACCCACTCCATGAATAAGAGACAGCTGTAATTTATGCTGCTGTTTTGTAACATGGCTTTGAAGATACATTTAATAGCAAATGGAACCAAATCCAAACATATGTGCTAGGGGAGAACATGAATGAAGCTTCTTCAACTCCAGAGTAAATCATCCAGGGAATGACCAAGATTTGTATTTTAATAAGATCTTATGTGGAAAAATGTTTCTATTTTCAAAATTTCATTCCTAACCTTTTGTGTCCCTATTATCTAAAAAAATTAAACCAAATACTTTTAATTAGGTCTTCTTAAAGTAAGAGACTTGATTAGCTGCTGCTGTATAACAGAATGCAGATCAGGTATTTCTGTTACATGTACTTAGTTCCAAGCTGGGGATACATGCCTCAAGTAGGACTAGATGAAGTAGTGGCCTCAGAGATGCTACCCACCTTCCATTACTATGCACAATTCTAACTGAAGGACCCAGCTGATCTCATGCTCTAATGTCCTTGCTACACACACTCTACTCCAAAGATAGGAACCATGCGGACCTTACAAAGAAAACAATCATGTTTACAAAATGCTTGAATTCTAGACTCCTGACTGAACACAGAAAGAAATGGACTACATACATAATGTGATTAGGCTTTCAGTCATTTTATTTTAAATGTCTGTAAATGTATTTTGAAAGTTTAGGTAAAAATCAAGGTAAGGTGTGATTTTTAAAATCTGTACAATATCCAGGTCTTTGTTACTTGTTCTGATCTATTTATATAAAATCTAGTAAGAGAGTATTCTAAGAGGGAAATAAGATGCAGTATCTAATTCTTTGAGAATGATCTAATTCTTAGAAATATGTATAAATACCCACGAGACTTATCAACAACAGCCCCTTAAAAGGGTGCAGAAAGGCTAAATCTCAGACTGATTATAGCTTAACAATAACATTACCTATATCATGGGTTTGTTGTGAGGATTAAATAGGGTAATTATATGAAAAGTGTCTTAGCACATAACAAATGATCAATAAAAGGTAGCCACCATCACTCAGCATTGACCGTTGAAAGCAAAGGAGGAACTGATATAAAATCCGGATTACTGATCCACATAATCAAAGAAGTATTAAAAGGCTAACTACTTTTTAAACCAAAATGTTTTTGTTGATTCATATCATTAATTTTGGTTTATTTCAGAGAAAGGGGACAAGTATGGGTACATATCTAATTGAAGAGTTACAGCCCCTTTCGTTGACATACCTATTAAATAGGACTATTTAAAAGGAAAATGATTAGTAGTAAATTGTTGCTTTTCTTGACTTCCTTCCTTTCTTGTTCATTTCTTGGTAGAAATATTAATACACAGTGAAATGGCAAAGGACAGAGAGGTATAAAACTTGGCAAATGTACAAATATCCTCTATTTATGAAAAGTAGTCTTTATACTTATTCTAAAGTTCTGTGTGTTTGTACATGCTAGTTAAACTTGTAAGCCTGCAGGAAAAAGCATTATTCTTATTGAATATATGGATAAATAAAATCTGGAGAATTATATTTTTACATATTATGTATGTGCAAGCATGGGTAAAAATGAGTAGTAGGCTAGCATAAAGTAATACTTGGCTAAGTTTGGAAAGGAGTATGTAACCAGTTGATACGGCCAAAGAAAATGGCATTAAACCAAATGTGGTTGTCAGTCTATCAGCAGGGAGGAATTAACTAGTTAAGTAAACTTTCTATGAAACTAATAACCTTTGTTATCTTTTTTCCTAACTCAATCTATTAAAAAATACCTCATCCAAGTCAAAATACATAACAGATATTTCAAAAATTGTTAAAGCTAGAAAATATTAAGACCTAAGGATGTACAAGTTTTTTAAAGCATGCAGAACCCACCAAGGTTGATGAACATATTTCCTCTGGCTGTTAACTAGAAGACAGGAACAGTGCCTGTGTCTCTTTCGTTGACTGGCAGAACCCATTTAACACAGGTCAGGATGATGGCACTGGGCACCAAAATACACAGCCTATGCTGTTCATAACTAAGACATGGCACCCACCCAAAATACTACTGATAAAAACTTCACATTATTTACAACTTCCAGTGTTCAACATTCTCTTTGAGGACCTCCTTGGGTGAGGAGAGATGATGGGTCCCTGCTGAAGTCCATCTACAAGTGCCCACTGCCTGACTTGGTAAAGCACACTCACCTTGCAAAAGACAAAGTACACTAATACCAGAATTTGTTTCCTGTAAGTTTTTACAAATTTGTTTAAAGCAAGGCTCCTTCAACTGGAAATTAATGTAGTCTATTAGTATTTGATTTGAAGAGTAAATTACTGTATTTTAGCAAAGATAAAGCAAGGCAAACTGGTAAGATTTCAAATCTAAAATATAAGGGTCTTGGTGCCTAAACACAGGTTCAATGTAGATAGATATAGGAAGATGTCCCTCTTACTTTCTTTACATTTAAAGGTTACAGGACACAGTGATATTGAATTAGGAAGGAGGCACAATACACAGTACCACCTACATAGGAGCCCTGGTGGTACTGCGGTTAATGTATTTGGCTGCTAACCAAAAGGCTGGTGGTTCAAACCCACTAGTCGCTCTGGGGGAGAAAGATGTGGTAGGTTGTTTCTATAAAAATAACAGCCTTAGAAACCCATGGGGCAGTCGTATTCTGTCCTATAGGGTCACTGAGAGTTGGAAAAGACTCAACGGTAATGGGTTATGTGTATCAGTCATATCCTGCTTTAAATACTTTCAGAATAATTTCACACAACCAAAATGCTACTCAAAACAATTCAAGATACTGATTTGTATCAATGGTTTTTAAATTTTAAAGTAAAAAAGAAAACGGGGAGGGGGGTGGAGGAGAATGACCCCCTTTTAAAATAATGATGCCTTACATAGCAATCTTATGTGGCACATAAATATATAAAGCAGAGATGTTATGGTTTACAGCAAAGGCTGGTAGGTTGGAGTCCTCCCCACAACCTCTGGGGACCCTCAGAAATCCAACAATCGTAACTAGAAAACCCTAAAATAATGTAATTTAAATGCCTCCTAGTAATTTAATTGATAATGACTATTTAAAGTTGAAGTCAAACAAATTAAACACTGAATGGAATGTTGGGATCTGAAGAAAGCACTCAAAGGAGTGGTTAAATTCATTGTACAATATGCCTATTAAAAATAGTAAGAAGGGAAAGGGACAATGTAAGGTTTGTACATCATCATACTATTTATTGAAGTAGAAAGAACTCGAAAAATATTTTACTTCAAAACTTCAGTCTAGTAAACTGAAATTAGGGATCATAAAATGTTCTTTCTTATATTTATTTCTTAAGTCACAATTTATCCTGATTATAAATTAGGGTAATTACATTGAAATTTCATGAAAATAAACAGAGTTAGAAATCGGCTTTACAGAAACCAATTTCTTTACAAATCTTGACCAACTGTAATCTGACTATTCCAGTAAGGACAATTTTCCTTCAAAAATATTTTTAGGGAAAATTTTTATTTTTATTTTTAAAATTGGGAAAATTGTAAACATAAAAGAAATGCAAATATATAGTAAAAAGCACTTACTCAGATTTCTACCAGTTTGTATCAAACTTCTCTTTAGGAAAATGGAAAATTTATCCAGTACAATTAAGCCAACATACACTTTATTATTTTATGGTAACAGATTTTTCAAATTGGGCTTTTAAAAAAGTACATTAACTACAAAAGTAAGATCAAATAGGTAGTTATAAAATATATTTATCCCGAAACGACTAAGAATATAAAATGTAGATGTTCATGTCATGAGTACATTACACATTACACATATTATTTAAAGGTCATTTTCTTTCCATTAATAACACAGATAAAACCACAAATATTTATTGCTTATATTAAATTCATGTTAAAAAAACCCAGATAGCCTCCAAAAACAAATCCTTGAGACAAAGGATTTTTCAATCTGGTCAGGTGAAATGCCACATTTAACATGTATGAATACAGTTCCAAAATGTACTAATTTTGCACACACATTAATGTCTTTATTTTATATAGCTGTTTACAACTTGGCTTTCAGAGGAACCTGCAGTGAAGAGTCCTGAGATGTTGGGATTGTGACCAGTACATATTGCTTATCTGATTGATGTCTAGTCTACTGCACCACTTTTGGGGTATGAGGAGTTTGTTGCTAACAGATAAACCCTTGTAATTAATGAAGCACTGTCAGCTATTAGTGCAGAAGTTTGCTGGGCAAAAATTAATTATTTATAGGACACTTTGTTGAAAAAACAGTGCCCAGCCAATAAAAGTGCCAACCAAAATGACTGACACAAACCCCATCTTAGTGAGAATAGGTTGCCAATATAACCACCTTTTCCTTTTTCGTTCAGTCTCATTTAGCCTCTGTTTCATCTGTTGCACCTTCTGAGCTGTGTTAGCTTTTCTGTCCTCTCGAATACGTTTCCGTAGAACACTATGAATAAAAAAACCCACAAATAAATGGAAGTCACAGCAAAATTTAATTAATCTAATACAGAGGCTATAAAAGCCATATGCTAAAATAAACCATATATACCTACATATTTTTCATGTCAATCAAACTTCAAAACAAAAAAGGGGAAAAGCCTCAATATTCTAAATGATTTAGAGATATACTCTTGATTTAACAGAAATTTCTAGTACAGTTTTGCATTAATGAGTACTTTTAGTAGAACCTGAAAATATGCAGGATGCTTTCTTCCAAAATTTTGAACTTTGTGATTAATCAGTTTATCTCCTTCCTTTTTACCTGGTCATCACAGGCAGCAATGGGAGGGTTAAGTTGGTTCCCCATACAAGTGATTTCCTTTTGTGTTTACATTTCACTTTTTACAAAGACCATGAGAACAGGTATATATGTAATATTTTTCATGACTTCTGCAATGGTAGCTCCTATTGCTCTGCTGAAAATGAAGATGACTTCATCTTACTGATGAAGATCAAAAACTACAGCCTCCAATATGGATTACACCTAAACATAAAATGAAAATTCTAACTGTACCAATAAGCAACATCATAATAAATGGAAAAAAGATTGAAGTTATCAAAGATTCATTTTATTTGGATTTATTAACAATCGTGAAAGCAGCAGTCAAGAAATCAAGTGATGTACTGCATTGGGCAAATCTGCTGCAAAAGATGTCCTTTATAGTGTTAAATGGCAAAGACGTCACTTTGAAAAATTAGGTGCACCTGACCCAAACCATGGTATTTTCAATCACCTTATATACATGTGAAAACTAGAAAATGAATAAGGAAGACTGAAGAATTAAGGCATTGGGGATGAACACTAAATATACAATGGACTGCTACACAAACAAATCTGTCTTGGATGATTACAGCCAGAATGCTCCTTAGAAGTGAGGATGGTGAGACTGTGCCTCAAGTCTGGTCATGCTGTCAGGGACCAGTCCCTAGAAAAGGGTATCATGCTTGGTAGAGAGTTAGAGAGATAGAGAGATACATAGATAGATACATAGATAGATAGATAAATAAATAAAATGGAAGAACCTCAAGATGAACTGACACAGTGACTTCAACAATGGGCTCAAGGATGGCAACAATTCTGAGAATGGTGCAGGACTGGGCAATGTTGCGTTCTGTTGTAAATAAGGTTGCTATGAGTCAGAACCAACTCAGTGGTACCTAATAACAAGAATTGCTCTGTCCGACCATATGTATCTCCAGTTGTTATTTTCCTATTTAATACAGGATTTCTGTCTCAATGACAGTTCTTTGACTTTCAAGATATGATCCTAGGACTAAATAAAGAAGGATATTTCATGACAACATGTATGTTACTATTTTTCTCTTTTAAAGCATGTCACAAAATATGTACCTTTTTTCATTCATCATTTGTTTATATTATGGCAAAAACCTAAGTGCTTTCCTGCCTCCAAATAACCTCAATTATACATTCACTGTCACAGTAATTTTTCAAAGACATAGCTCTGATCATGTACCTTGACTAAAAATATTGAAATATGTCTACTAAATTAAGAGTGACAGTTTTTTCAGGCCAAAAATTTTAACCTGAATTTAATTATGAGAAACAACAAGAAAGCAGATTATAGGGGCATCAGATAATTTATCAGGCCAATTAACTGGATGTCTTATGAAACCATGACCCTAAACCCCCAAACCAAAAACCAAATCCCATGAGGTTTTTAATTGTACATAATCAGCCTCTGTAGCTACTCTTTCTTTTGTCACTGTTTTAAACCTATCAATTACACAAGTTTTGCCAATACATTTTTTTTATGGGTGTTAAACTTACTGACTGCAATTACAATAATTGGCTGTGCAACCCTACATTTAATCAACTTTGGTATTTTCGTCATCGTTAACCCTTCACCTTCCCCTTCCCTCCTGTTACTGTTGTTGGTGTTGTTATTTGCCGTCGAGTCAGACCCGACTCATAGTGACCTCTCCTTGGATTTCTGAGGTGGTATCACTATGGAAGTAGATTGCCCAACCTTTCTTCCGAGGAGTGGCTGGTGGGTTTGAACCGCCAGCCTTCTGGTTAGCAGTCAAGTGCCTTAGGCACTACGCTACCAGAGCTTCTTCCTGCCACTGGTAACCATTAATAAACTTTGCTCTCTTATTTTCCTGTTTTTATGTAAGTGAAGTCATGTAGTATTTGTCCTTTTGTGATTGACTTATTTCACTCTGCTTGTCTTCCAACTTCATCTGTATTGTAGCATGTATCAAGATTTCATATATCCTACTGGCTGACCAGTAAACCATTTTATATATGGACAATGTTTTGTTTATCCATTCATCTGATGATAAACATTTATGTTGTTTCCACCTTTTGGCTACTGTGAATAATGTTGCAATGAACACTGGTATACAAGTCTCCACTTTCAAATCTTTTGGGTATATACCTAGAAGTGGAATTTCTGGGTATATCATTGTGGTTTTGGTTTGCACATCTGTGATGGTAATGATGCTGAGCATCTTTCACGTGTCTGGTGGTCATATGAATGTCTTTGGTGAAATGGCCATTCATGCCCTTCACCTATTTTATGATTGGGTTATCTGTCTTTTTGTTGTGAAGCTATCAAGGTTCTTGTAGGATATGTGGTTTCCAAAGTAAACTTTTGTTTTTTCACTTTTTGTTGAAGTCTTCTGATGAAGAAAAGCTTTTGATTTTCATGAGGTCCCATTTATTATTTTGTTTTCTGCTGTGTTATTATAATAAATGCTTTTGTTATTATAATAAATAACCCATTGTTGAAACCTAGGCCTGACAAGTGTTACCCCTGCTTTTTCTTTTAAGAATTTTATGCTTTTAAGTTTGCACGTGTAGGCCCTTAATCCATTTTGAATTTATTTTTGTGTATAGTGTGAGGTAAGGATCCTTTTAATTTTTCTGGACATCGAAATCCTATTTTCTCAACACCATTTACCAAAGAGATTCTTCTTTCTCCTTTAAATGGACTTAAGCACCCTTGTCAAAAACAGTTAACCATACATGTACAGGTGTATTACTGGACTCTCAATTCTACCCCATTTTTCTTTGTGTCTACTTGTTTATCAGTACCAAGCTGTTTTGATTACTGTGGTTGTATGTTGTTGTTAGGTGCCATCGGGTTGGTCCTGACTCATAGTGACCTTATGGGCAAAAGAAGGAAAACACTGCTCAGTCATGTACCATCCTCACAATCACTGTCATAGTTGAGCCCACTCTTGCGGTCACTGTGTCAATCCACCGCATTGAGGGTCTTCTCTTTTTCGCTGAACATCCACTTTATCAAAAACGATAGCCTTCTCCAGAGACTGGTCCGTTCTGACAACAAACCCAAGGTACATGAGAAAAAGTCTCAGAATCATTGTTTCTAAGGAGCATATTGACTATACTTGATCCAAGACAGATTTGTTTGTTCTCCATGCAGTCCATATCATAATTCAAATGCATCAATTCTTCTTCTTACTAATTGTCCAGCTTGTGCATGCATATGAGGCAATTGGATCAGGCTCAACTTAGTCTTCAAAGTGACATCTTTGCCCAATGCAATATATGTCGTTTGCTGCTTCTGTGGGTGTTGATTGTGGGTCCAAGTAAAATGAAATATTTAACAACTTAAATTTTTTCTCTGTTAATCATGATTTACTTATTGGTCCAGTTGTAAGGATTTCTGTTTTATGTTGAGGTATAATCCATATGTTGTTGTTGTTATATGCTGTTGAGTCGGACCCAACTCATAGCGACCTCTCCTTGGGTTTCCGAGGTGGTATCACTATGGAAGGAGATTGTCCAACCTTCCTTCCGAGGAGTGGCTGGTGGGTTTGAACTGCCAGGCTTCTGGTTACCAGTCAAGTGCCTTATTTTTGGTCTTCAACAGTAAGTGCTTCAAGTCATCTTCACTTACAGCAAGCAAAGTTGGATCGTCTGTATACTGCAGGTTGTCAATGAATTGGGCTCCAACCCTGATGGCTTGTTCTTCTTCATACAGTCCAATATCTCAGATTATTTGTTCAGCATGCAGAATGAATAAATATGATGAAAGAATACAACCCTGATCCACATCTTTTCTGGTTTTAAATCATGCAATATCCCTTTGTTCTGTTCTAATGACTGCTTCTTGGTCTATGTACAGGTTCCTCAACAGCACAATTAAGGGTTCTGGAATTCTCATTCTTTGCAAAGTTACCCATAATTTGCTATGATCCACATATTCAAATATCTTTGCATAGTCAATAAAAGACAGATAAACATCTTTCTGGTATTTTCTGATTTCAGCCAAGATCCATCTGACATCAGCAATGATATCCCTTGTTCCATGTCCTCGTTTGAATCCAACTTCAATGACTGGCAGTTCTCTATTAATATATGGCTGCAAACATTTTAAAATTCTCTTTAGCAAAATTTCACTTGTGTGTGACATTAATGATACTGTTTGAAAATTTCCACTTTCTGCTAGATCACCTTTCTTTGGAATGAGCATAAATACGGATCAGTTCAAGTCAAGTTGGCCAGGTAACTTTCTTACAAATTTCTTGGTGTACGTTAAGTCAGTGCTTCCAGTGTTGCACTGGTTTGTTGAAACATCAACTGGTATTCCGTCAATTCCTAAGGCCTTGCTTTTCACCAATGTCTTCAGTGCAGCTTGGAGTCTTCCTTCAAAACCATCCACTGGTTCTTGAGCATATGCTATCTCCTGAAATGGTTGAATGTCATTTTTGGTACAGTGGCTCTGTGTATTCCTTCCATCTTCCTTTGATGCTTCCTGTGTCATTCAATATTTTACCCATAGAATCCTTCAATACTGGAACTTGAGGACTCAATTTTTTCTTCAGTTCTTTCAGCTTGAGAAATGCTGAGCATGTCCTTCCCTTCTGTTTTTCTAACTCCAGGTCTTTGCACATTTCATTATAATACTTTACTCTGTCTTCTTGAGCTGCCTTTGAAATCTTCTGTTTAGCTCTTTT